GAGACTGTTTTTTACCTTTTTTTGAAGCCCCCCGTGGGTGACTGTAGAGCCAGAAACGAGGTAGGTTTTCAGAAAGAGGAGCAGCCTTGCAGGAGGCAGCGCTCCGAAGCACGGAGACCAGGAAGCGGCTCCAGGAGACCCGAAGCCGCGTTCCCGGAACTTCCAGGGATTTTTCAAAAGTTGGTTGTTGAGCAAAATGTCTAACTTCAGCTGAAAAAGCCAGTTTGCTTTGTTTGACTTCCAAGTGTACCGTAGCTTATATGACTGAAGTTTATATCAACTTTCCCCAAGTAAGGAGAGAACTGACGCAAGAAGAGTCAATTGCAAACTTTGTGTTGTCTCGAAAGTCGCGGTCGTTGGCAAGAGATGTGAAGCTCGTCCCTTTCTCACATAAACTCGGAGGGGAAGTGGCCGTGGGGGAAGGTCACACCAGCGCGAGGGCTCGGGGCCGCTGCGTTTCTCAACATTTCTGTTTCAGGTCTGACCGGCATCTTAGAATACTTGGAAGTGTTAGTAAAGATTCAGGTTAAACGCCCAACAACGACCACAGAAAGTGACCAACAAAAGGAAAGATAACAAAACCTTACCATTTGAACTTGTTGCTGATTGCTTTTCAGGTTTAATCATTTTTTCTAGTGATCATGCGTATCAAAAATGTTTGAGTGCTGTGTATTTCCCTCCCGTCTCTCCCAGGCTCTAGCCCACCCTCAGGTTTTCTCTGGGAAATTTAATCTAGACTTCATGCTGCTTTGGGTGTTTGTATGGTGTGAAACAAAAAGATGAATGCTTTTTATGCGTATTATCTAGTGAGCTGTGGAATAATCTAGATTATGCACATGTGAATTCGGGAAGTAAAGGAGCTTGGTGGAGTGGTTTTATAGGTGTGCGGGCTGAGAAGTTGGATTTTGAGATGGACCTAAGCAGCCTCGACTTTTTGCTGTAGAAGATGGCAAGATTGGGAGTTTAGGAGCCCTTAAAGAATTTAAGATGAGGTCAGCACCCTTTAAAAAAAAAAAAATCTGTGTTTTAAATTTGTGACACTGATATATTTGAGAGGTATTTCTGGCTGCAGGACAGACTTAGCTGGAGGGCTGGGTGGGGAGTATTGTTTGAGTAATATTCTGAAGACTAAATTATGGACAGGGAATGGCGATGTACCTGCAATTAAGTGACATACAATAGCTTTTCTCTTTCAGCATACTCATTATTTTTTGTAGGTGTAAGAATTAGAAGTAGAACCATTTTCGTTTGTATTAACTCTGTTTTGGACAGTTTTAAACAAATACAATTGTTACAAATACAGTTCCCCACCATCAGTAGTTTTTGATCCAACAGACTAAAAAACCAGTTTTGGGGTGGGATGGCATGTGCATATTTTTTAGTTTTAAAGAGGGCTCTTTAAAACTCAGTGAGTTATTTAAGGATTTTATTTGAGAGAGAGAGTGAGTGAAAGAGAAAGAGCACATGGGCAGAGGCAGAGGGAGAAGCAGCAGCGGACTCCCTTGCTGAGCAGGGAACCGGACCTGGAATTCAATCCCAGGATCCTGGGATCATGACCTGAGCAAAAGGCAGTTAACCGACTGAGCCACCCAGGCACTCGCAGTGAGTTATTTTAAATTCAGTTTTTCAGGGTTGCAGTGTAATGCTGACTGTTACCTTGGTGATGTTCCCTGTTACCTTCCACTGGTGGGCCTGCCTATGAAAGGTCAGCTGCTGTGTTGGTTAATGGTTAAGATGACATGCCTTTTCTGATGTCTGTTGGTAAGGATCAGGTGAATGGAATCAGCTTCTTTTTGTAAGTTGATATTTTGACAGGATATATAAAAATCTTTTTTTTGTTTTTTTTCTTATCTCGGAAATGAATCTAATTTAGGGTGGGGGTGGTCCATTAGAAATCTGGTTTGCTTTTAATTTGTCCAGGACACCACCTAGTGGTGAAATGGGCATAATTGCAGGTTGATTAGGGAATTAGGATGGGAACATTGGCAAGAATTAACAAATGCTGTCTTACCTTTGATAAATAGGATTTGTGAGACCTTCAAATTCAGGAGGTAAATGAGAAGAACAGCAAGGTTGGTGATGATAAGAACAGTGGTAGAAATAATGTAGGAATGGAAGGACAATTGATTGTAATCTCTACCCCCAACTTGGGGCTTGAACTCCAACCCCAAGATGATGAGTCACACGTTCTTACCAACTGAGTCAGCCAGGTGCCCTGGAAAGACCATTTAAAGCCTAATTGGAGGGGCGCCTGGGTGGCTCAGTCGTTAAGCGTCTGCCTTAGGCTCAGGTCATGATCCCAGGGTCGGTCCTGGGATCGAGCCCCGCATCGGGCTTCCTGCTCGGCGGGAAGCCTGCTTCTCCCTCTCCCGCTCCTCCTGCTTGTGTTCCCTCTCTCGCTGTGTCTCTCTCTGTCAAATAAATAAATAAAATCTTAAAAAAAAAAAAAGCCTAATTGGAGAAAATGACTTAATGGGTAACTCAGCTTGGAGAACTGTGATGCTTTTATTATATATTGATTATAGGTATTTTTCAAACTGTGTTTTTGGAGGGGGCATACAAAATCACAGTTGACCCTTTTTGTTTTATTTTTATTATTTTTTTAAGATTTTATTTATTTGACAGAGAGAGACACAGCGAGAGAGGGAACACAAGCAGGGGGAATGGGAGAGGGAGAAGCAGGCTTCCCATGGAGCAGGGAGCCCGATGTGGGGCTCGATCCCAGGACCCTGGGATCATGACCTGAGCCGAAGGCAGATGCTTAACGACTGAGCCACCCAGGCGCCCCAGACCCTTTTTGTTTTAATATCCTACTTAAGAAAGAAGTAAGTTAAAAAAATACCTATTATTTTTCTTACTATTTCTTTAAATACCTCATTTTTAGGGACGCCTGGGTGGCTCAGATGGTTGAGCACCTGCCTTCGGCTCAGGTCATGATCACAGGGTCCTGGGATTGAGCCCCACATCGGGCTCTGTGCTCAGCGGGGAGCCTGCTTCTCTCTCTCTGCCTGCCTGTCTGCCTACTTGTGATCTCTCTCTCTGTCGAATAAATAAATCTTAAAAAAATACCTCATTTTTACGTGGGGAAAATTAATTTCTGGAAAAAAAGAATTATAAAGGTAGGGGGCTCCTAGCTGGCTCCGTCAGTGGTGCGTGTGACTCTTGGTCTCAGGGTTGTAAGTTGGAGCTCCATGTTGGGTCTAGAGATTACTTAAAAATCTTGAAAAAAATTATAAAGGTAGTTAAAAAGTAAGTAAAAAGGTGGCTAAAAAAAGTGGAGAGGAGTCTGTTTTATTTATACCTTTAATATCTTATTTGAAAAGCTATTCCTTATTTGGGCATAGCTTGGTTTTTCTCTGAAAACTTTTACTCTCCGAACACTTGTAAAGAGTTTTGGCCATCCTAAGTAAAAAACAGTAGCCACTTTGAAAGGCTGTGAGGCAGTAGAACTGCATGGGTTTGTGGGTGTTTGGTTTTTTTTTTTTTTTTGCGTGTATTTGTTTATCAAAATATTCCAGTTTTTTAGGATTCTTAAGTTCAGTTGCAAGGATCAGTTGTATTTGGAAGGGTGATTTTTTTCAGGTAGCATGTGATTTTTACCCTTTAAAATTCTCATTCTCCCTTTCACCAACAGAGGATTACAGGACCTTCCTGTGTGTTCCTCTAGGTTAGGCCTGGAATCATCACTTCTGTGCTCCGTTTGTGCCTAAGGCATCGTCCCAGACCCACAGTGCTGAGAAAACCTTGTTTGGATTGGATCCTTCCTGGTTTGTCTTTGTCCTCATTACCCTTCTGTGATTAATAATGGAATCCAGACTTTAGGAAAGTTAGGGGCAAAAATACCCAATTTGAGTTCACAAGTACCAGGACTGGGTACTTGCCACGTGTTCTATTTTAATGAAAGGAGGTTAGTCGTGACTGTAAGTGCCTAATAGTTGATAATTACCCGTTTTGGCAATCAATTGGTCTCAGATCTTGAGTTCAGTGGAAGTAGCTTCCTTGTTTGTTTCAGGAATACTTGAGGGCATATTGGGTAACAAGATAGATATATAAGTAGATGGTTTGTGATAAGGAATGATAGTTCACTTCGGTGTGGGTGCGCCCCCCCCCCCCAGTATTATGGGAATTCTTAGGTAATGAAATGACACATAGGGAACTTTTCTAGATTTTTTTCTTTTCTTTTTCTTCTTTTTTTTTTTTCTTTCTCTCTCTCTCTCCAGCTCCCCCTCTCTCTCTCCAGCTCCCCCACTCCCTCCCTCTCTCTCTCTCTCTCCTTTTCTTTCCCTCCCTCTTTAAAATTTTATTTATTTGACGGAGCAGGCACAAGCAGGGGGAGCGGCAGAGGGAGAGGGAGAAGCAGACTCCCACCTGAGCAGAGAGCCTGATGCGGGGCTCCATCCCAGGACCCTGAAGGCAGATGCGTATCCGACTGAGCCACCCATATGCCCCCAGATTTATTTATTTATTGTTAAACGTCTTGTGGGCTTTCATTTCCATGAAGCAAACAGTATTCCACTAAATTAGCTTGATGCCACACAAGAATTAAACATTTAAAAAAATG